AGCATTTCCGAATAGAATTTATACTTGACTACAAGAGTACACAATGCCCCTGAATTACCCGTTCATGCGAGGACAAAAAATGGCACAAGTGTGAGAACTGTTAGAACTGAATGACCACGACACATGAGTGATTATTTAAGGCGCTTTTAAAATAACCAGGGTACCAATTTCACATCACCAAATTGGATAATGTGAAGATTCTTAAAATTGGCGCTAGTCATTTATCACATTTATGGGCAGGCTAGTTTTCGATTGAGATTACACAATGCCCCTGGTTTGCCCGTTCATGCGAGGTCTAATAAATGGCACCTGTTGGTTCGTAGTTAAAGAAATAAAATTAACTGCAGCTTTAAGCATCTTTTTACCGGTAGCAGGCACAAAAAGAGGCTAATAATGAAAATATGTTATGGAACTGACTTTCAAATATGGGCCCTGGAGAAAGCTAATTTCAAAGCCATGAGCAGTTATTTTCAAGGTAATGTGTGCGATAAAATTTCGGCATGGCTATATGAAAAATTGGCAAATAGGTACAGGCATTAATTATGGCTCCATTTAGAAGCAAGCCTAGTAATACCTTTTGTAACATTTGGAACATCAACTGGTATAAATTTTGATGAAGTAAATTTAATGTAAAGCCCAAAATTTCATGTACGCATTTTATTCACAAACTCATGCTATAAACTTTCTATTAACGAAAAATTCTTGCGGAGAATTCGTTGATCCACACTACCACAAAACAACGTTCGCATGAGAGATCATTCATTGAAATCCAGTCAGCACGTTTAGCAAAACATTTAGCTGATTTCAAATGATTGGAAAATCAATTTTGCCCTCAGAATAGCATTAATTTGATGAGGACCGACAGATTGTTTGTGGTGTTTTTTCTCTATCACAGTCTTACATTTTTGGTAAGAGGAAAAAATTTCAATTTTCAATTCTGTGTCTACGACAAAATTCGCTACGACGCTGAACGCAAGCAGTATTTCTTTTACACAAATCCGGTAAGACGCACTGTGGTTCATTTGCGACTTACCACGGAAATGCTTGAAAAAGGCTCCGCAAAACTTGATGGTCTAGACTGCGTTATTCGGTGGAATCTGATTCGTGAAATGTACCGCATGTGGATATTTTGTTGCAAGTGACCAAAGCGCCTTTCTTTTATGGCATAAATATAAACAAAAAATGGAGTTTTGATCAATTCAGACAGACAGTTTACGCAACGCTTGATGTACGCCATTTTGACACAGATACTAAACACCGCCTCGAGGTTACTTCAATTTACCTTTATCAGAAAGTGGTCCACAGAGCATCCTACGAAACCCCACTAAGTCGAGCAGGCACAACCTGTTCATTTGGAAGTAAAATTGACCTTCGTTATCTTTTCTTCTAAGAATTCTTCTGCAGAAAATAAAAGAGCAGCAAACTTTCCAAAAAGTACTAAAATCAATTGCTAGGAACATAATCAACAAGAAAATTTAAAAAAATTAGACAAACACTAGGTATTCAAGTCTAAGCATTTGCTTTGTGGCAACGTGATCCATACAAATGATGTGTGAACATAACATGCGAACACCTTGCAATAAAAACAATTCTAAATAGTTTATAGTATATATGAAATTGATTCAAATTGCAAATATAAAGCATTTTTTGTTGGTTTATTTTTTGCTTGTTACTGGAATCACGCGTGGACTCTTTTAACATTTGTAATAGGAGCAGCAACGTGTTAGACATTGCAATCCCTTCCTTGGATGACTTCAGATGCATAATATTTGTCATGGTACTTCTCTGTGTATTGTGAGGGATATCTGGGTAATTTTATCAATGTGGTACGAAGTTGTAATGGAAATTCCTTGGTTTATAAGGTCTCTGGTATTATAAGATTTTGCTCCATATTCCAGAATAGAACTATTCTAGTTATCAGGCCTCAGACATTTTCACAAATTGGCATGTAGCTAACGTGGATTTACCGATAGTTATTAGAGGTTTAGACCATTAGGAATTAAAGCCTATATCAGCCATTAAATTCAACAATAACTTCTGCCTTGAATAAATATCAGTTGATCAAAAGAAAATGTTTTTTTAGACAGGATGCTACTCTCAAATAAAAACAAAGGTGTGTCGATTTAGAGGATAGGAAAGGAACATGTGAAACTGTAGAAGCCAATAAATCATCATCATTTATTCATAGTTTAACCAGATTAGAGATCTCTTAGGAAATACGAAAGTTTCCGCCAACTCTGTATTAAAGCATCAGAAAACAGGCAAAAAAGTCCCAGTTTAATGGTTGTATCATCCCCGACTTTAAAGGCATGGATATTTTTGCCAGTTAAGATGCCTGATGTAATTTTGGCGCCGGCGCTACGCCAATACTTAGTAAATAAGTATTGGCGTTAGCTCTGGTCCCTTTTTAAACTAAACCGTGTGCATTAGCTCTAATTACTTAAATTCACCAAAGAATTAATCATTTCAGTCATGAAAGAAATTATTTAGTATTTTTGTATGCTGGAAGTGTAAATACAATTATTCAACTTTGTAGGCATTACTGATTTAAATGTTAACCTAAGTAGCGTTTATCACTCATTGCACGCATTGGTTATTTAGTATTTTTAAATATATATTTGCCCATGAATTATGTCTGCTCAATTTGAAGACAGTTTAATCCTTTTGACTAATTATGGTTACTTGAAAAATTGAACTTTTATAACTTCTCATGTGACAGGTTTTTTATCAATGGTCTTTAACCCGAAACAATTCTTACACTTCTTTCATGAGGAAACGTCTTGATGGTTTCAGGAGACCATTAAAATTTCTTTAATTAAACAATTCATCGAAATGCTACTAAAATACTAAAAAGGTCAAAATCATATTGTATTACTCTGTAAAGTCGGACAATTGCATGTATTTGAATATCTTCTGTGACCTACGGGAGGGGACAGTAACCGTCTTTTGACAAGGATGGATCATAAATACCTGTAAAATGATATGCGAGATAGCAAGGATGGCTTGAACAAACTCTGACTGGTGAATTATTTTTCAGTTCAGTTTGCTATGTTTTACTGTTATTCTCAATGAGAAGGCTTCTCGATTCTTCAGTAACCGTTCTTGCAACCTTAGGTTAGTGTGGCAGAACTTTGTTATAAAACAATAAAAAAATTGAAGTAAGTTTTATTTGGTGTTTTTGATTTAGCTTATAAAAGGGCTCATTGCTAATTTGAGTGGTGTGCATAATCCTTTATAAAGTTTGTTTGTATTTATCAGTTTAGTAGCTTTTCTAGGTTAATCATACGATATGGGCTCATCTTCAGATCAATATCAGCTGATCTGTTTCTTTGCCCTCTCCCAATTTTTTACTATACCATAGAATCATTATGGACAAACTACGATCTTTTAACCTTAAAACGTATAGTATATTTCTTTTAATTGTCTAATTCTGGTAGATTGTCATTTTCTGGTAGACGATCCAAGGAAACTCTTGAAATGTCGAATGATGGTAATGTGGGTTCTCCGTCCGTAGATGGTGACTTGTAATCTTATTACTTACTGATTCTTATAGGTGTGTCTACTGCCATAAACGAATGGAAGGGTTCGGGGCTCTTGTCTCCCATGCAGTCTTTATTAAAGAGCCTACCTTCGCGATTGAAAAGCGACCCTGATGTATCTTCGAAGTCCAAGAAAACAACCAGGAAGGATTTTCATGAAACTGTTCTGAAATGTTTGAAACTATTATGTCTATAATTTTTCGTTAGGTTATAAGTGTGCATATGCTATGCACTCGAATCATGTGTCTGGGAAGCTCTACATTTCTACTAATTATCTTCGTTTTATGGAAAGTAAACATAAGAACAGAAAAGTAATGATCTTTTGGTCCTTACAGCCTGTTTAAAGGTGGTCATTCGCCTGGAAGATATTGACAGCCACGATGTTCACTCATTTGGTATAAATATTTTTGCTTACAATCATGTAGGTTTATTTTTATTACTGGTTGTTTGATTCTTCCTCGGTTAATTTCGACACTTGCCTTTAGGTCCATACCTTTATCAATTTTTACGAAGCCGAATCAGCTGTCGCATTTATATCTAACTTTCTTCGCCTCACGAGTAAAGTAAGCAGCTCGATTTTTCACGGCAACGATCTTTCGTTTAGTCAAACTCACCAAAATTCGTGCCCGTCACCTTTTCACTGTCAAGTACACGCACATCGCTCCTTAGTTTGTCGTCCTCCGCTGCCTCAAACAAGCTGCCACATAAAGCGTCAGCGCCTAATATCCACTTGAAATCGGATCCTACCAAACTACCCACATATGAGATCCCAGTCAGCTCGAATTCTTCGACGTCTGAGTGTTTGCGTGCGTTGACCTAGTTTGTACTAATTTTGACTTGTTACGCCTCAATGTTTAAGGGTTCCTATATGTTTTCGTATACATATTCTGATGCTCCTCTACTTATTCTCATCTTCTTTTAATCATTTTCTTTTCAGAAAACGGAAAGGTCTGCTGTCCACACAAGGAAACTACCTTCTCTAGACAGAGTGAAAAACCTTTCTCAGTGGACCATGTGATTTTCACGGGTGTCTCGACCATCTCGGATGTGGCATTCCGTGCTTCATGCATTCCACTCCTCCTCCTGACTCGATTCCTTACCTGTGGTCTTCATTTGGCTACGAATTCTCTCCACGCCATGCCCATCGGTTGTCCCCCCAGAGCGTTTACTAAGTTTGTTTCTTATGTCATGTGAGTTTATTTTTGCTTATAGACTACAAAATTTAAGACTCCAGCTCATAACGTTTGTACGAGAAACTCCGGGTATATTCTATATGACTTTAGTTGCTACTTGCAAATATGCCAGTTCCGTTAAAAGAGCGCATAATTTAGTTTTAAGTCTACGGTTCTAGTTGTGCTTATTGTGACCTGTTGAGTGTGTAACTCATCTAGCAATGCTCTTTTTTAAGCCAAATGTTTTTCGCGCCATTTTATTGTCATTTTATCCCCAATGAAAAGTATCATCAAGGATAACCGTAGAAATTCGCAGACGATTTCACATCGTCATAATTGTAAATTAGTTTACATTAGATTGAGCTTACTATAAAATAATTCGAAGTTATCTAGAGTAGAATGACATTCATTTTCTTGTCGTTTGTATCTGAGATCGCGCATTCCCGTTCCAATCGAGCTCCACTGGTTCACTTTCTCGGCAACAACAAGTCAGATTAGTTTCGTACCTAAGTGTCATAGCCTCCTTATTTTCCATCCACTTAGATCAGAACTGACAATGCTGAGGTGATAGATACTTAACTCAGCAAATAAATCTCTTTGTTTCTCTCGACCTCACTTGAGTTTAAATTCAACTCACCAATGATATATCACCGTCTTTTAGATTGACATTCCTTATCGTTTCTTTGCTGCACCTTTACTACCGCCTTGAGGCACTCCCCGTCAGTCTGGCTGCGCGACCTGCCATCGACGCCGACAAATTTAGTTGCACTCGAAAACTCCAGGACTCACTCAACTCCCTTCACGCACTCTCCCAGTCTCTCTCTCACACGCTCCGTCGCATTGAATTAAAATTAACCCCCAGTTGATCACCGTCCCCTCTGCACCTCCCTCCTCAGAGCATTTCAAATGGAAATAATTTATTAGCGCTTTCACCAATCACCTTTTCCTGTCAGTTTTTTCCCGTATATTTTCGTGTAATTCTATACAGTGGTTTAGTGGACAAACTTGATACTCTGTGCTTTAGTCCCGTGCTTTTATTAACACTAAATCGAGCATTTGCACCACGTACTGCTATTGGTGGTTTGGCGGCAAGGTCGTCCATCTCATGATGGAGTGTAAATGTGGACCAAACAGTTTCGCTACCAATGGCTTATGTACGATCTGGCTTTCTGTCCGTGTGATTTTACTAATACGCTGGGTCTTTCGGCGTATGTTTGCTGGAAGTCAAATTTTAAACTTTTTTACCGCAATAAACAAAGGACGACGTATCCAATTCGTGGGGAACAATCTGAATCAATTTAGGACTTGTCGGTCGACGCCATCGAAATTATGTTGTGAAAAGGACAGTTGGGTGCAGGCCGTCTCGTCACATGGGCTGGTCACTCTGGGTCTAGTTTATATCGATTTTATTTGGTTAGGTTTAAAAGCTGCTGATGGTGAACCAACGGCTTGTACGTAAGGGGGCCTGGTTATGTGTACGAGCACTTAATCGTCTTCTTAGTTTCTGCCCGTTCCTGCACCGCCTGGTGTACTTTTGTGCGTTCGCTTCTAATTAGTCACGCCTTGGAACAGATGATCTCTTACAATCTAGGGTGTGTCACACACTTGGATTCTTCTGATGCATTTTAATCGGGCGCGGGTGGTCGTGATGCTCGTTTGTTTTCTCCAAATGCCAGGTTGCTTTACAACTTATTTGTTTTGTGAGGAAAGTTCTATATCTCAAACTAGCCTGCCCATAAATGTGATAAATGACTAGCGCCAATTTTAAGAACCTTCACATTATCCAATTTCGCGATGTGAAATTGGTACTCTGGTTATTTTAAAAGGACCTGAAATAATCGCTCATGTGTCGTGGTCATTCAGGTCTAACAGTCGTCATACTTGTGCCATTTTTTTGTCCTCGCATGAACGGGTAATTCAGGGGCATTGTGTACTCTTGTAGTCAAGTATAAATTCTATTCGGAAATGCTCTTCTGGTGCACAATCCATGCTACTGTGAAAGGGGGATTTAAGCTTTCTCTGGGAATCATGAGAAGGTCTAATTGTTACCATGTGCTGGCCTTGAAGGAGTTCCCACACCGGGTCACCCCACATGTGTTTTTACGTTTTTGAGGGTTGATCGCCCATGCTTTCAAAATACAGAGGAATCGATAGGAAAGTAGAGTTTACTGAAGTAGAGTGTTCGAATTTTTTTAAACAAAGATAACTCAACTAATTTATTAGAGCTTCTTATAGTGCAAATAACGACTATTTTAATGAACCACGTTTGCCATCGGAGTGTTCATTTATCTAAAACACAGATTATGTGAAGCAATCAAAAGCATTCCTTTCCACTCTTAGGGTTAATACAATGTCAGACTCGACAAATTCCATCAGATTTCTTTAACGGATTTACGCTTCCTGAGGTGTTATAGTCATCATCTTAAGGTTGCCCTACCACCCATCAATCCGTTTAATTCTTTTTCCCACATAAATGTTCCATAGGTTTTGCCAGGATAAGTCCCGATTTCGGGCTAATTAAGGTAAGTGATCGTGTGGTCGTTTCACAAAACGTACTTAAAGTTATAGTTAGTAGTACTTCCCTAACTACAAACCGAGGGATGTGTGTCTATGTCGAAGAAACAGGAGTAGATCTTTCGTACTACCTAGATGTTATATCGGCCTGTTAAGAGGCGGCTGTTCGCTCGAATCCAAGTAATTGAAAATCAGCCACCACGAATGCATATTCAGATCACCTGAGCTTAACTAATATGGCAGTGTCATGCCGAGCTAAAACAAGTGCTGAGAGACTGATATGCAAGTCAAATGCGACTAGACGCAACCGTTGATTGGGTCGCTCACAGCTTTATCATGCTCCGTTTTCGATCACGCCAGTGACAACGTGGTAATATTACGATTCATTCACAAAGACGCGTCAACTGGCTCAGTTCGGACACGAAGGGCTTAATAAGCGCTGAGTCTGGCAATGCGTGAGCTGACGAGATTCACAGCAGGCGAGTTAAACACCAATTCTTTGAAGGCTGCGGCAGGCCAGTGGACCACTGAGGTAACTTGCTTATGTTGCGTTTATTTCGTTCTCCCTAATATTAAAATCCTCCAGCTAATAAGACATCGTCATGGCGCAATGTGTCCATGTAGAGCAGAACAGGTTTTATTGACATATTATCCATGTTTTGTGCACAGTAATCAAGTTCGTACATTAATGACCTTTAGGGCACAAGTTGGAGGATAATGTGAGTCGCCAGATGTTTCATTTTTCTCACTGATTTTTATCCATGCTACAAGTCTCGAAATTTAGTTGCATTGACGTTTTAGGCGGTTAGGGTTACCTGCAGCGGGTGCTGGAATTACAGCAGACTTGTTGCCTTGAAAAATTGCTTATGCCTGCAAAATCAGGGACGACGAAATTATTAAATTTCCCTGCTAATTGCATGTTTACGAAGTCATTAAATTGAAAGTGAGAAGTTACATTTGCATGTCTCACCAGACCTCGATAGTCCGATTAGGTTGAAATTCAGACACGATGATTGGTCAGCTCTTGCAATCCATTCCTATCCACGTAAATCGACCCCCCCTTCGCTTACAATTGAGGGGCACCCACAGGTGCTGTCGTTTTGGTCCGAACACACAAGTCCTACCTTGATTACTGGATCTTCATCCTCGGATTTATCCTTAAATGCAATCAGGGCCCAACATTGCTGTGCATAGGAAGATTGAATGAGTATAATTTTTTGAAGTCGACAGAGGCTTAGTTATACGGGATGGTATCGTTGTGGAGCGCAATGCGAGACCTCATAATACTCGAACGCCAAAGAGCCCAAGGATTTAGGTTGGACATCGAGCCTGACCTGTCGTATTCTATGGAGTATTTTCTTCGTGGAAACAACACTTGTGCTGCAACTTCCGTCAAGGCCAAATCCAAACTATATTACCTCTTGAATTCAGCCTCTGTTTGCGGGAGTTAAAATGAACATCACCTGTAGAAATGGAAACAGCATATTAGATAATGGCATGGTTTACTTGTGCACATCAGTTTGGTTGTAGAAGTTTAAGGGCTCCTACTACTTGGAGGTGATTGCGAAAACGAACCGATGGATAATGCCCACATACGGATTGATTAAGTCTAATTATGCGTGCGGCAGGTAATCGCTCGCGCTAGCGTCTATGAGTTACGTATCACCATGGCAACGTGTGAAACACAACTATCTCCTAAAGCAACCTAATCACAAAGTTGTAGAATTGAGCATTCCTGTCAAGGCAGCTCTAGATTAGTTGGACTGTGACCGAACGATAGTTTGAACTCGTGGTTTTGTGCTTTTGTAAGAGGTGTCACAAACCATGGGAGTGGGTAAACAGAGTAGAATGGAAATATGAGAAAAGGTTAGTATTGCAAATTGGAAAAGAAACAGAGCTTTCATGAAGAGGATATTTTGAATGCCTTGTTTTAAGTTGGTGTTTGTGGGAGGCTATTACCAATCTGGCTACGAACCCAGTTAACTGATTAAACAGGCCTGCAGGAGGTGCTACGTTTGCCCCTATACCTGGATCCAAAGGGGAGGGAAATTTCAGGCGTAACAAAATTCCAACGAGGTGAGAGGGATGCCGATGGGTGAACACGAAGTAAATTTCCACCACATATAATCGATGAGGAATAAGTAGTTGTAGTGTCAGTTCCACACAACCCGGTTCAATGGGAATGTGAAATGGAGGCGGTCGATGGAAGTGGGATGTCGGCTGCCATGCTACTCGCCTACCAGGCCAGCAAACCCTCTCCTCAGTGCATCAACAAAGCGTCAGTACGTACTTGCGAATAGTGACATGGTTGCGCGTCTGGCGTTTTTGAAGTTCAGTCGAGAAATAATATTGGAGAAAATGCAACTGAATAGGAATGCAGCATCGAATTCTCATTGCAGATTTAATTCAGAAGAACTAGTGCGATTTGGTATTGCATTGTCAATTGCAGTGCAGATGTAAACAGAATTATCCAGATAACATAATACAAGTGATGCCTGATTTAAATTGTTTGAGTCCAATTGCGTTTCATGTTCATGGCTGAGACATCACCGATGGGCAAACTCACACAACCCAAGCACAGCAGTATCTTTTGACAAAACAAATTCAATAAAGTATCCGTGTCAGATGCTCAACCGACCCGAAAATACACACAATTTCACATAAATTGTTCCTCATATTGGAATCAGGATGTCAAGCACAAGCCTCAATACCACCAAGCGGTTCTTAATGTGAATTTCCCATGGATTCGGTTTAATGTAACTACGTTGATTTAGCACAAGCCCAATTTCGTGGTTTGTTTTTAAACCACTTTACGGGATGAAACTCCCTTTCGCAGCGATTTAATTTTCTAAGTGTTTTTAACTTGGAGCTGATTTGGTGGGTGCTCGTTGTATAGTTCAATTTGGTGGTTGAAGTTTACTCGGACTAAATGCAATTTTAGTCTAGGCTTTAAAGAAACGTCCTAAGACCTTTGCCACAGCGGCATCACATTCAGTGCTGTTATCTGCATTGTGCCTTATTTGTAGCATCGACGAAACGAATGCCATGAGAGGATGTCACCCCGAGTGTGGACCTCAACCACCCACTGGGAAATGGAGCCGAAATTATGACGTTGTTAGCTTTTTTACAACAACCACATTTTACGGTGAATTTGTGTGTTGTGGGAACAGGTGTCTGTTAATATGGTATTGGCAGGAAAAAACTAGACAAATATCAAGTAATGCTCAAGCTTGCCATGACAAGATGGACACGCATCGTACACAAAGAAGGAAGATGACCAGGAACGAGTGTAACCAGTTGGTAGTGTACAAGTTTATGCCTCTTCGTCTATCACGGATGCGCACAAGTGAGT